TTTGGGAATAGGGAATTGGAGGGTGAAATAGAGTATTTCTTCGATTTTGATGGTGGGTAAAATGGCATTGAGCAGACAGGACCAAACCAACTAACCCTTTCAAACAGTTGCTGAAACACATTAATGGGCTCCGCTTAGAAGTTCGGAGTAGGGGGGAAGGATTTTTGGGTTGAAGTTGAATATTAGATATATTTGCTATTTGATTTGAAAATTTTTAAATATAAATTTTTAGATTTGATATTTATCTTAATATTTGAAGATTTATATTTGATATTTAATCTAATAAATACTAGGTAACTTGTAAGTATATATTTATGTCTTTGTTAAATAATATTTTTAAAAAATTTTTGAATTAAAATTTAATAAAATATTATTTATTTTTAATTTAAGCTTAAATAAAACTAATAAAACTTTAATAAAATATTATTTATTACAATCTAAATTTAAATATAATCTACAATAACAATAAAAAACTAAAATTTGATTTCATATCCAAAACTTGAATCTATATACTATTAAAAAACTAAACTCAATTAAATAATTAATAATAAATAATGAAAAATAGGTACCAAAAAATAAAGAATAAAAATAAATTAAATAAAAGAATGAAAATCCTTTAAAGAAAATGTTCAGGTTTTTGGATTCATAATCTCTTTAATCTTTTGCTTTGGTGTATTAAAACGATAGTGACTAATGGTATTATATCTATTTGTTTATGTCAAAAACTCTTCTCTAATTTAAGGCAATTATTTTACTTAGAGAAAAAAGGCTTAATATCAATATCGATACCCTCCTCCAACTTAAGAGTAATTTTGATATAGTTTAAATGACAAAATAATTTTTTGCTACAATTCTATCATGATAATTTTTAATTATTTATTAGTTTTGAATATCACTTATGAGCTATTAGTATTTAGAGTAGGAATCCACTTACATATAAATTTTACATATCATATTTATATTAAATTTTAACTATTTATCTCTTTATTTCAATAGTTAAAATCTATTATAACTTTTTAAATAAAAAAATAACTATCTTTAATAAATATGATAAAAATAAATAAATCTTAATAATTAAAAGTAAGGAGATAAATGATTAAAATTTTATATAAGTATAATATATAAGATTTATGTGTTAGTGGATCCCTACTCTAATATCTATTATTTTTAATTTACTCTATATTATTTATTTGATCTCAAGTTACATTATAAAGTTATATTATAAAATAGTGTGATTATAAATTATATGCATTTTAAGGGGTCAATGCCATGGGTCCCTAAACTTTACTAGCTGAACTTGAATTGAACTTCCACAATGGGATTGGTATATGCGTTCTCATGTGCCATAAGACAAGTCGACTATTCTACTTCAACGCAACTTAATGATATGGTGGGACAATTTTGACAAATCAATCACAACTCGTTGCAGGACCAGAAATGGATTTGCACAAAACTTATACATGGCAAGGCAAAAACATAAATAGGAAAATAATGATATATCTGACTTTTCGGTATACATTTCTTTTATAAGTGTCATGTGGTTTTATTTATTTATTTATTTATGGTTAAGATTTTTTTAAATTAATTTTTTTATATTTTGAAATTATTTTTTAAGAATTTTTTTTAATGATTTAAGGTTATATAATGGGAAATAAGTTTCTTTTATTTATTAATCTATCACACATGTATATTATACAATTCAAACTCAAAATCTCTTATTTTAAGCAAACAAAAATTATTATTGAATTTTTTTAAATGTTAATTTTTTTAGAAAATTTTAAAAATACACTATATATCAATCTAATATATTAAAAAAATTAATTTTTTCAAATACTAATCTCAAAACTTAAATGAAAGTAATCTTTAAGAGAATACTTATTTATCAATAAATATAACAATGGGTGGTTTGTCTCGCGGCATGCTTACGGACCTTAACCTTTGATGGAAAGGGGCTTTTTTTTTTTCTTAGGGGGGGTGGATTTTTTGGGAATAGGGAATTAGAGGGTGAAATATAGCATTTCTTCGTTATTGATGGTGGGTAAAATGGCTATTGAACAAACAGGACCAACAGGGCGTTTCAAACAGTTACTAAAACACATTGGATTATTAATGGGCTCCGCTTATAAGTTCGGAATTCGAAGTTCGAACTACGCCGTTTTAAGTGTAGGGGCCATTTAGCCCAAGAAATAGTGTAATTGGGTCTGCCGCCATGTACCATAAACCTCATCGCTGGCGTCCAAATATTTCTCCTCCGTCTGTCTTTACAAAGCAAAATCTCAAAATCAATCACTATCTCACAGCTTTTGAGAATTTGTTGGAGTCATTTGGTAATTCTTCAGTTTAGCACTTGTTTCGCAGCTCAGCAACTAGGCAATCAATGTAAATTGATAAACAGGAGATTAAAAAGATCCTTCATGAAATTGCAGTGTGCTTTATGCAATTTGGATAGCATTGAGGACAATTTTCCGTAGAGAATTGAGCACGCACTAGAGAATCCTGATAGTTGTATATAAATTTTCTTTTTTGTTTAAGGATTTCCAATTGTGATTCAAATTGATACCTTAAAATGCATGTTAATACCATATAATCACTGGCAAAATTTGCTTTTCTTAATCTTTTAAACTAAACATCCTTTTCTCATCATGAACATATAAATTTAAGTCAAAACCCTTCTCTCAACATGAACATCAGGATTTTGGTAAATGAAATGTACAAATCTTTTTGCTAAATAGAAGAAAAGAAACTTTATATAATAACATTATAACAAAACATACATCGACTTTGTGAAATTTAGACAATTTATTGCTAGCCCACTACTATGCTATCATGTTGCAACACATAATTTAGAGCAGCCCTTGTATCATTGCATTTGCATTTTATTTTCCTTCCATTTGCAGCTTTCATGCCATAGCCCCAACAGAAACTTTACATAATAGCAATCTATTAAAACAAAACATGAATAAACTTTTTGGAACTTAGATTTTAGTATTGTCAATGAGTGATGATTTGTATTTCATCCTTCTCTATAGGTGTGGTCTCTTTATACCAATAAGATTTGTTTTCTTCACTTGAGAAGAAACTCGAACTAGTGGAAATCATTGGTGGCTGGGCTGCATTCATCCCTACTGAGTACATATAATTAAAGGGTCTAGGAGGTGACATGATCTCCACACCGCCTTCTAGCATCTTCACCACTGCACTCATTGGTGGCCTTACCTCTGGTGAGTCTTGAACACACCATAATGCCACTATTGACATTCTCTCTGCTTTTTCCTGATCCTCATCTTTAATCCCACAAGTCTTTATCATCTCAACCAATTCACCTTTCTCGTAACTCTCCCATACATGTTTAGGAAACCAATCAAGAGTTTCATAGGAACCCACAACTGTGTTTCTTCTCCTCCCAACAATCTCAAACAATACCATTCCAAAACTGTATACATCACATTTGTATGTTACAGGAAGATTCTTCATAAAGCATTCTGGAGCAGAATAACCAGGAGTTCCTCGATACCCAGTGTTTGACATGTAAGAAAGATCCCTATTGCAGAGCTTTGCGAGCCCAAAGTCAGCAACTTTAGGGAAAAAATTTGCATCAAGGAGTACGTTTGCAGGCTTTATATCATAGTGTATGATTCTCTGTTGACATTCTTCATGCAAATAAGCAATACCCTTGGCTGTCCCTATTGCGACTTCATGTAATTTTTCCCACTCAATCTTTCGCGTCTCCTTAAACAAGTATTTATCAAGTGATCCATTTTCCATGAATTCATATACAAGCGCACTCATATTTTGATCATAGCAAAAACCATAAAGTCTAACCAAATTAATATGGTATGTTCTTCCAATTGTGCCTACCTCTGCCATGAACTGCTCCCCTACCGCTTTCTCAGAACTTTTCTCAAGCACCTTCACTGCGATCTTGACCCCATCCGAAAACTGCCCCTCATAGACCACTCCAAAACCCCCAGATCCCAACCTGGTCGAGTAATTACTCGTGAATTCACGGAGCTGCTGAGCAGTGAATCTCACCGGCTTCTCCTTCGCCATCTCTTGCAGGAACTTCTCCATCTGGGGTGCATCAACATGTAATCCCCTTTGACGACGACGACGCCAACCACAATAACAGATTGCAGAGAGGATCCCAAATGTCAGCAAGGTCCCAAATATCGCTGCGAATTAATTTATCAAATTAAATGCCATTATTATCAATTTGGACATGATAATTCTAAATTCGTCATGTTAAATGATGCAAG